CGGGGCCACCGGTGAATTCTTCTCTAGGGCTTGGTTAGGTGAGTCTGAAGGCATACACTCATCCACATTGTGGACTTCTTCATCGTCAACGCTGGTATTAGGGTTATCAAGATCATGTTCAATAGCCTCTACATCACGTTCTCTCAGAGTCAGGACGCTCTTCAGAGGGGGCTGCCACAAGTGCGGAAGATGAAGATGAGAGTCGCGGTTGCTATGCGGACTAGTTGGCTCCGGGATTCCAGACAGAGACCTCGAGGTCGGGTCAAGGGAGGCAAGCATGGAGGGTGGCGAGTAGGTCATACGCCTGGCCAACGCTCTGCAAGCACCGACATGCTCAGAACGCGGCAGTTCCGGAGGCGACAGGGTGATACAGACGCTGAGTCGGGGCCGGTGGGTCGACGGCGTCTGAGGTACAGGATTCTTGGCGCATTGCAGAGACGTGGCTGAGTAGGACTCAGTTGAAAGAGAGGGCGAAGCGGAGGAAAGAGTGGAGAATGCATCAGATGTGGGATCTGAGCCGCCCAAAGAGCCAATCAGGCAAGGATCCTTCCCATTGCAGTCGAGAGTGACAGCATCGTCACTGGTACCGGACGCATGAGTGCCGGTGAGCAAGGAAGCTGAACCCGGAGACGGTGGTTCTGGCAGCTCTGAGGATGCCGACGAAAAACAAACGGTGACATCGTCAAGGATGCTTGGGTCGATCGGGTCCAAAGCGTCGCCGAACTGTGAGTTTTCCCAGCGCTTAATCCATTCGTGATCGGAGGCCGAACTGGCTGTCATCCGGAGCCTAAATGGAGTCAAAGTAGACGGAAAAGAAAGTGACAACTATGATACTTTTGAAAGAAGGATAAAAAATGTTTTCGAGCAACCCTAGAGCTTCAAGAGACGTCCTGTACAAAAAAGAACAAAAAAGGATATAAAACAACATTAATTACAATAAATAATCAGAAAAAAAGAGATAACTGCATCCCCAAAAGTGTTGGCGAATCAAGCAGGCTGATAAACGCAAGCATAAACACTAAACCCCATCAAAAAGAGAAAAAAAACTATTGACACAATAGAGAAGACCGAATCTACAGCAATCAAGCGCTTCATCAAATGGTAGTGCCATGCTACGGCCCAAAATAAAATAATAAACAAGATATAGGAAAACTATTT